ACAGAATGAGCGCATATGACGAGTAAGTGTTATTTCGCATAACCACCAGTTTTTTCGAAAATCGTAGCTTTACCAAATCTCGCTCTATATTAGGCATAGCGATATGCTTATATTGCATCGGGATGCATTTGGTACTACAAACATCATTTAACGTTAAATATGGATGCCCCCAAACCAAATTTTTGATAACCAGAATTTGATTTAAAGAATGCCAATATTATTAAGAAGTAGAGAAGTATTAAAAATATATTTAGTATTGAATATGCTAACTTTTTAAATTTTGTTAGTAAAAGTGAGCAAACTAAAGATGAGTAGGTTGATAAATAATATATTGTTAGTATTTTTGGCTAAGGAAAGCATTCTTTTTGTTTGTATGAATAGTAGTCAAGAGAGTTTAGTTTGTATATTTTTTTGAATAAATATAATTTAAAAAAGATATTCTAAAGAGGGTTGGAATATAAGATTGAAAAAAGAAGATATTTGTGAAAGTAGTAGTTTTTTATATTTGATAAAAAGAAAAAAGTTTTTTACTTTGTTGTATAGTGTATTAAGTGTTGGCTTAGTTGAACCTTTACTATTATAAAAGATGCCTAGATATCTAATTATATTTTCAGATTTTTTAGAAGAAATTGTTTGATTATTATAGATGAATATATAATTTAATATTTTGAAGTTTTTAGAGAAGATATAGAGTAAATTAAATTTAGATGAGTTAACTTTGATGTTGTTAAGTTTATATAAAGCAAAAGTATTATTAAAAATATTTTGTAAAGTTTCTGGATATTCGCAGTGCTATACTATATCATTCATATATACTAGTAGTGGAATTGTAATAGTGGTTGGAAGTGTGTTTGAAATTGTTTCGAGTGAGGAGAAAAAAAAAATTTTTAGAAAGTGCTTATTATATTTTTGAGATATATAAGTAAGAATAAGATCATAGTAAATTTTCTATAGCAGAGAAAAGTAAGTTTTTTTTTGTTTAATACTAGATTTAATTTAAACTAGTAATGTTAGGCCATAGGCTATAATTACTTTAGCTAGTTAAAAGGTATGTAGTTCAGTTATTAAGTTGACTCTGAAAGCAGAAATGCTGATTTTGTAGCAAGTATCTTGCAGATATTTGATATTAATTTTATCAAAGACTTTGGACATGTTCTAAAACAATATTCATACTTCTATATTATGGAAAATATAATGTTTGATTGTATTGTATAAGATTTGGATTAAAGTATATGTTGAAGAATTTTTAGAAGCTACAAAGTTTAGGTTAGAGAGAAGATTATTTGATAAGATTATTTTGTCTAAATAGTTAGTAAAGATTTTTATAAAGATTTTTTTGATAAGTTTAATAATAGAAATAAGTCAGACTTGATTAAGTGTAAAATCCCAATTTGATTTTTTTGAAATAAAAAAAAATATTTAAAGATTTTTATTCTGTTGAGATTTTTTGTAGTTTGAAGTATTTGTCAATAAAGAATTTGAAAGTATTTTGTACTAAAAGACTTGCATATTTGATATATTTATAACAGATTTCTGAAGGGTCTGCTGCTTTTTGATTTGGAAGATTTAAAATTGCTTTAGACTATTTGTGATTGTTTCAAATAAGTTATTATAGTTTGGTTCAAGTTCTGGATATAGATAATAAAGTTGGCTAAAGTTGAAAGGATTGAATATAGAGATTTTTCTGAGAAGTAATCTGAAAAGTGATTGTGAATTTGGTTTAAAATTTTATTATGTTCTGTTAATAAAGAATCATTAAGTAGAAGATAGTTGATATTAATATTGTTGTATTTTTCAAGTATGTTTTTGTAAAAAAGCTTAGATGTTTCTTTGAAGGTTTTGACATAGTTTTTTATTTTTTGTTTAATTTCATTGTAGTGATTTTGTTGGTATTAATAGTTAAAAGAGGATTTGACAAGTTAAAATTTAGATTTGATTTGGGTATGAGTTAGATTTTTAGTTTGTAGTAAGTTTTCAGAATATTGGGTTAGATACTGGTCAAGTAGACTAGAAAAGTTGAAAGAGTAAAAGTAGTTTTTGAGGAATTGGATTTGTTTAGTTTTTTAAAACTAAAAGAGATCTTTACTTAGTAAAACTTTTTTTAATTTTCAAAAAATTGCTTTAGCCAATTATATTATTACTTTAAATAAGTTAGTTATTTGACTTAAAGAATATAAAGAAAAATTAAACAACTTTAGCTTAAGATCCTTTTAAAATTACTTGATATATAGCTTTATAATTTTTGTTAAAAAAATATCAAATACTAAAAAATATAAGTTCTATATTTAAAATTATATTTTATATTTATTTTTTTGAATAAATTAAAGAAATATATTTTTTTTATTAAATTTTATATATAAATTTGGGTAAGTCAACTTGTTTGATTTATATTAAACAGTAACCAAAAGAACATGTCTTGTGTCTAATATCTAAAATTATTTTTTATATTTATTTTATTGAATAAATTAAGAAAAGTATTTTTTTTATTAAATTTTATATATAAATTTGGATAAGTTAATTTATTTGATTTATATTTAACAACATTTTGAACCCTTGTAAAGAGATATGTCTTATGCCTAATAGAGCTAAAATAAAAAAAAATTCATTGAATTTGAATAGATAGCTATTAAGAAGCCTTCTTTTAAAATTTAAAAAAATAAAAATTTTGCTAATTTTGACTTTTCTAATATTCAAAAATTTTTCTAATTTCTAGTGTAGATATCTCAATAACCACTAAATCAAATTCAATAAAAATTTTTTTATTTTAATTCTATAAAGGTGTTAAATTATTAAAATAAAAAAGAAATTTTCAAATACAATCAAGTAGTTATTGAGAAATTGTTACTAGAGGTTGTAAAAAAATTCAAAATTTTAATAACGATTTTCAATTTAGTTGATTTTGATTGACATGGGAACCCGCCTCTAAGATACAGTCAACTATCTATATAACGGATTTTTGGGTCTTATAATTAATTTTTTTGTAAAATCCTTTATATAGCTTTTTACTAATATTTATATAACGGATTTATAATAAATTTAAATTTTAAGTCCATTATATAGGTGATTTTTATTATAGATGTTCGTTATATAGGTATATAGTTAACTATAAAGGATTAGGGTCGTTTTTAGAACCCTATCAGGAACAGTACTCATCCATCAATTTCAGATTAACGGGAATAACTTGATTAGATTTTTTGCTATTTCCGCTAATCTGAAATTGAAAAAAGTAGGGTAGAGGGTGCTGTGCTTATTTTTCTTTCAAAATTTCAAAATGCAACTTTTTTTAGATTGTAACGAAGAATAACCAATTAAGTCATTATCCTGAAATTGGCGCATTTATATAGAAATTTAAATTTCTTTAAATAACACAAATGATCCGGTCCCTAATGCCAGAGATTTTTACCATTTTTAGTAATACCTTACTTAAGTAATGATGAATACACATCCCAAAAATAGAGCTAGTAACGATGGTACGAAACCACTTGATCACTTCATAAGCTGACAAACAACCAAACAACTCAATCTTCAATCAATTTAGAAATCTGAATTCACAATGAGCCAACAATCACAGCCAGGAGGAGTTCAATACAATACCGGAAGGTGTAAAGAACATTCTTGTAGTTGTCAAAACTTTTATGGAGATAATAATAATCCAAACATATGCGTTCATTGTAAACATGATTTCGGTATACACTTAGACTTTGACAATTGTATATATGAGCTCCTTTTTGATTTATGCTTTCTTTTTATCTCCCGAATTCACGTAATCGATGCTTAGAAAAATTAAATTATCGGCCTAATGCATATATTTCCTTTTAGTGCCAGATCATCCTAATTATCGGAATAAGTACCTCGAAAACCAGATGCATTCGTCAATTGAACTTCATACAGACCATCAAGACCATATGAATCAAATGCATCAACCAGGTATCAAATGGTTTTTAATAATTGGTGATTCTTTACTTTTTTTTATAAAGATTTTCAATAAATTTAACAATAATTCTTAGTGCGAGAACAACCACCTCCAAATACTATATGGTTTTACAATCGCAACGAAGAATATTATGAGTTTACTAATTTCAAAGAAGGTTTTCCAATTAATATCTCAATGGGTGAAATTAGCACCAATTACAGGGATTTTTATGAAGTAAAATCATGGTCCACAAGCGAGCATCTTTTCCAAGCTGCAAAGTTTAAGGAAAGTCACCCAGAAATCGTTGAACAAATTAGAAAATGTCGTTCTCCCAGGGATGCATTAAATCTAGCCAGAATTAACCAACATTTGGTGGATCCGAATTGGCAAGATATCAACGTAGGAGTTATGAAATGGGCAGTAAAAGCTAAATTTATACAAAATCGTAGATTAGCAGAAAGGTTGTTGTCGACGGGTGACAAAAAACTTGTAGAACATACAAATATAGATAAATTTTGGGGTGATGGAGGCGATGGGAGTGGACTTAATTGGCTTGGAAATATTTTAATGGAAGTTAGAAATGAATTGAAAACCGAACTTCAGTATCTTCCACCGTCATCGAATTTGCCACACAGTATGTATAATATTGGGTTGGGACAAAACGGATCAGAAGGTAATATACAAATTCCTCCGCAATTACCACCACGCAGGACAGTAAAACGAGACTTATCCAAATTTATTAAGAATCAATCCAATCAAAATAAAGATCAACAATATATTCAAAATCAAAATCAACAATATAATCGAGATCCAAATCATGCGTTTCAAACTCCGCAACAATTTCCAACTCAACAATTGCTTCAACACCGACATTATCAACAAAATGTAAATCAACCACCTGAAAATTACAATGTGTATTATATACCATACGGTCAGCAGAATCTTAATAACAATCCCAATATGTAAATAGAATATTAATGCATTGTTTCTATATTTATGTTATCATTAAATTTAGTAATTAGGTGATGTTTGAATATGTAAACGTAATAATCAATAAAGATATTTAATAATTATAAATTTAATAAATTTAATAAACTTTCTGAACTTTAAATTTTTATTAAGATCGATATCACGTCCTATAGTTAAATATCTGGCTACTTGACAAATTATTAAACTCATAATTATAGATGGGGTGAAATTCATTTTCATTAATTTCAACAATAATTTCTACAATACAGTCAGACCTCTCTAAATGCAATGCGACGGCATCATATGTAAAAATTTAGCCAAACGTGCACTTAGAGAGGTATTGCATTTAGAGAGGTAAAAATCTATAGGCGTGATATTAGTTGGGCCCAAGGGAAGACGTGCATTTAGGGAGGCTTTTATAGGACTTGCACTTAGAGGGGTTGCATTTAAGAGGTTTGACTGTAATTTCAACATTTTTAATATTTCTATAAATTAAATGCAGTATCAAATAATTATTTAATTTAATTTAATTTAGTTTCAATAAATTTTTGATATAATTTAAATTAATTTTTAGTGTTGAAAAACTAATTTCACCAATTTCACATTCAATAATTTCAATAATTTTAACAATTCAACAAACCTTATATTTTTATTGAACAATTAGATTATATAGTACAGTAAGACCTCTCTAAATGCACCCTCTATAAGTGCACACCCTCTCTAAATGCACGCTCAAGTGCCAGCCCAAATATATACTTGACCTCCATAAA